TAAACGTAAGTTTAACGTTTTAGTTTAGTTTAGTTATTAGTAGTATAGTTATACTACTCTCTCTCTCTACTACACACACACACACACACACACACTCTCTCTCTCTCTCTCTCTCTCTCTCTCTCTCTCTCTCTCTCTCTCTCTCTCTCTCATACACACACACACACTTGTTTCATATTTGTGGGTTCACTCCGATTTATTCCTCATTGTTCTCATCTCTCTCTCTCTCTCTCTCTCTCTCTCTCTCTCGCTCATGCACACACACACACTTGTTTCATATTTGTGGGTTCACTCAGATTTATTCCTCATTGTTCTCATGGAAGGTCTCCTTCCTGCAAATGTATGTCCATTACTAACATGTTGAGCTGATCAAAAGCGTCAAGTAGACTTTGATGTCTTATATGATACCGCTTTTGAACCTTGTCTAAGATTTTTCCCATGTTTTTTCTCATGCATCCAAAAACCACAAAGTGAGAGTATACATCTATCATTATTTCACACATAGTTTTTGTATGATCTGCAGAATTATGGTCTTCTCTTAGTAAGACATAATTTGTACTGTGTTCAACAGTTGTCAGCTTTTATGTCTTCCTGGTTTTAGATATGAATACATGTGCCTTACTTCCCTGTTGAAAAAATCCCTCTTCATTACATTTTCTATGATCATATTACCTTCTTCGAATGCTTATATCTTGGATATTATTGTTCGTCTCTGGTCAGTTAAAATGTCAAGATGTTGTAAGCAACTTCCTTGTTTGTATTCAAATCTGGTCAATCCACCAAGGCTATTTTGACTTGATGGGATTCATCATTTTCATATGGGAAAGATCATGAACTTGAAATTCTCACTTGGAATTCCTTGGCAGGAAATCAATGAAGTTCTGCATTGGGAAATCCAGGGGATTAATCACTTCTACTTGTTCTATTGAACAACTACATTTGTTCATCATGAATTACATTTGATAGTTGGAGGAATCCATCATTCAATTCAAACTTCGTCAGATGTAACTTGTAAAAATGATGCACTAAAGTAACAGTAATCAGAACATTCATTTTAACTTGCCATTGTAACTATCGTTGTTTCTTGCATGCAAAATCGGTTTTAGTCCAATTTGGAGTACTTTATTGACGAGTGAAATTTGGGAATTTTTAACCACCTTCGTTGGAATCGACTAAAGCCCCGAATTCGGATTCGTAAACGTACTCTCTTGATCTTCTGTAAAAATTGACCGCAGTTTGTCCGGTTGACTTTTGTCTTTGATGCATTCAGAAGTCTCCTCATGCACCCACAACCTGTACCAATTGTAAATTGTCACTGAAATCATACAAACACAAATTCTTATGTGTGCATGTTTAAACTTATGTGCCATTTGTTGATCTTTCAAGAGCAGGTGCATCTTGTATCTCCTAATTGGTTACCCACCTTGAACCTGTTTCTTATCATCTCTCGTTATCTTTGCTTTCTGCATTACCTGCAATGTTTTTACCATGAAGCTCAGTTTTGTTCCATGATTTAGTTCTAGGCATGCTCATCTATTGCTATGGTTTCATTGTAAGGGAAAGTTACTTGGGCCATTGGACTATGGAAGCCATAATTCACTGGGGTCATGATCATCTGATGAAATGTTGAGTGATGGAGAGACCATCGGAGCAGGACATGACCCAAATGCTATACTGTTGATGATTCCATTTGATGCTCATGATCCAACCAGGCTATGTCTTCCATAATCCATTGGACTACAGTAAGATCTCCTCGTTTAGAATCCCAAAAAGTTGTAGTAATTTCGTCACCTCAGCCAAGCTTTCCAATCGCTTACGCATACTTCTCTGCATGAATCCTCTTGAACACTGTTCACACAACTCAGCATTTCACAATGTTATTCTGTTTCTCAAAAACAAATAAAAGTGAAAATTTACAAATGCCTACCTTTATGTGGTATTTCACATATGCAGAAAAGTTTAGCAGACTCCACACGGTTTTCTCAAGTTTGGGACCCTCAATATGGCGTGAAAGTATATCTGCAATGCAAATTTTTTATCTATTGCTCAGTTCAAGTAGTTTAGAAAGCTACAGTCATTGATGTGATATTAATTTGGCTAATGCGTATTTAATTGTAGCAAGTATTTTCACAAGAATATGATGTTGAGATGGAGGAGGGGTATAATACCTATAGAAATTCCGTGGGGAAGTTTCCATTGGAATGTAGAATTGCTCGTTGACTAATTCCAAATAGAAAAGAGGTGGTGGAGATTGATTATCAGTGGTTATAGTAGTTTGTTTCAATCACAAATTTTCCACTTAACAAGGTAGTGCTTTAGAATTTCCTTTACACTTACATTTTGTCATTACATTCAATTTCTATCACTTATTTTAATCATCTTACTGATCATATCAAGATCCTCAACTTAACAGTGTGCCATATTGATATCATTCAGAACTCTCGAAGAGAGGGAGGATGGAGGGAGGGAGGGAGAGAGATTAATTTCAGTAGTACTTGGTATCCACAACAGAGGAGAGTAAGTACCAAATGATACAAATCCTCCATTGGTGCTCAATTCATGAAGAGGCTCTCCTCTCAACTCTATAGGAGGAATAGGTGACCATGTACAAGTGGGTGCTTTATCCCATGATGAGGAACACCTTAAATCCATGAGTTCCTATCACCAAAGTTCAGTTATGATATAAGACGATAAATTATCGAGTAAAAGAGAAAGAAGTACACTGAAAATATTGCTTCTGTAATTAAGACCACAATTATAACTCTATGAAATGATGCAAAACTAGACCTGAAAGAAGGCCGTTGCAAGAACTACATCGGAGTCGTCCTTGAATCTCATGGGGAATACAGATGTGATCTTATCTGGCTGTTCAAATAAAGGTTAGTCATTCATTATTATTTGTTCTCGCTTGAAACAGTTGGATAAAAACAGATTAAAAATGGATTAAGATTAAAATTTAGAATCCTAAAGTTGGTTGAAGGAATAAATTTAAATTTATGAATGTATAGTACCAGTCTTATAACAAAGAAAGGCTCTCCTGGGTGGTACATGAGTTTGATGGGCTTGTAGCCCCCATGCACATCATCTTGTGAACATAGGGTCCATAGCATCTCCTTCAATTGTGAGCCCAGTAGAACTGCTCTTAATGAACAGATCTCAGTGCCCACTTTGATTCGATCTTCTGAAATTAGAAATGAAAGTTAACATGTATATCTCTAATTGCAACATAATTTTACAATAGTTGACTTTGAGCCATTTATATCCAGGTATCAAAGTGAGGCTTACCATCTTGCATTAATAAGGGCAGGATTTTGCTATTCAAGAAGCATAATTATTTGGGTTCCCCATTGGAAGGGTTTAGTTCTTAGCTTCTCAGGGATGATGCCTTCCGTTAAATTTGTTGGGGATCAAGCATGGATTTTTCCTGGCCTCTTCTTGGCTATTTTCAGATTAAAAACCCTTCATTTGAGCGATAATGTATTACATGATCTGATTATTCATTTTCTGAACATTCGCATAGCTCAGCCAAATTAACTTGCATAATGGGTTCAGCACGGATGTCGAACTCACATGAAACTCGTGGAGCATTTGTGAGTTGTTGGTTCTTTAGATGGGGTCAGTTGCAGTATTCTAGTCTCTTCTATGTATGTGATGTTTGTTGTGATATTTGATTCTACTCTTGGCTTTCATGGAACAATATTTTTAATTCATTGCTTTTGGTGGTCAACTGGTCATAATTCTTCTTACTTTTATTCTTGGAGCATTTTCATTCATTCTTCTTCACTCTCAGTTACTAAAAATTATGCATGAATGTGCGAAATGGATGGCGCACTGTAGCATAAAAAAAGAAGAAGAAATGGATGGTGCACTCTGCTTGTTTGTGGAGACTTTCTCCATGAGTTTGATTCTTCTAAAATAATGGAGTGACTCATTTTTAATAAGTAATGGCTACCATTTAGACTCCATTGTAGTGATTGGGTGCTATTTACCTATTTATTTTCAAGTCAGGTTTGAATCATTGCTTTCCTTGTCTAGCCGGTATTTTTACTAGCTCACACAGCCATCCTATGCAAGAGAAGCAAGGGACCCCACTTTCAATTGTAACATATTGGTATCATTTGCATTTCTCCAAAGAGATCGAAAAGTTCCCATGAAAAGCTTGTATCTATCACAGTTGATTTGCCGATCATCACAATCACATCCTCTCTACTACATCTTTAGAGGGGGTATAATAAAAAAGAAAACATAGAACAATAAGTCATACTGTAAATCAATGATATTGAGCTTATGATTATTCAAACCTTCGGCAAGTGGAAGCTTAGAGAAATCGATTCTGATAGTTAGTTGGAATCCCTCTTTTGGAGGCTCAAAAATTTCTGCAACACCACCATAAATTCTTTCTATTGTTTGTGCTGTACCCCTTGGAAGGCCATTGCGAAGGAAATGGTTTGGAGAAAGAGATGGAGCTGATATTGACAGATAAATACTATTTTGGTCTTGTGCTGAATCCTACAAAACAAATGGATGACGGCAAATATCACATTGAGAGTAAATGTCCGTTTTAGTTGGAGAGAGAGAGAGAGAAAGAGAGAGATGTATGTGTGGGTGGGTGTGTGTGTGAAACAACGGAGATTTTCTGATAATATGAGTTGCTAGAGAAGTACCTGGATGTGGTATCGGACGTCACCAAATTCAGAAATGTGATGATCAATTGCCTGCGCCTTGTCAATGCTGTCATCAATGAGAATAACAAGCCTCGTTACATTTTCAAATGCAAATTTGAGCATACCAAGATTGAAGTTGTGGAACTGCTCTATGGAAGTTCATTTTTGTGGATATTTGGCAATGCCCTTGATAGCTGGAATTATGAAAATGAGAGAGAGAGAGAGAGAGAGATGTTTATGAAAGCTTACTTCTTCATTCTGTCTAAGAGGATCTCCATCAGAGCAGGGGATGGCCTCTGGAAAAAATTGGTGTTTTCCATGGATTTGGAATGATCTTCAACACGAAGAGCGTTTTAGAGCCTCACTGTTGTGGCAGGCACAAGTTCTATTGCAATTGTTCCATGTAACATGGTGTCCTCAACTACTCATCAAGGGCAATGACACCACGTGAGCTCTTTTGTGTGTGTGTGAGTGAGTGTTTTTTCTGTTGTCTTCAATGGCTTCTTCCTTTTTGCATTATGTGTCATTCCTTGAACCCAAAGATATATCGTTTTTTCATTCAATCGGTTGTTTTGCTTCGAAGGCATGCCAAATGATTAGCCTAACCACCTTCATAGATTTGAAAGGTTGAAAGTGGAAGTTTATAGTGTCAAGAAATATTCATGGCCATGGCTTTTTATTTTTATTTTTCTAAAAATATTAAAATAGTCAAATCTCCTCAAAATATCGATAATCAATTCAATGAATTTATCGATAAGTGGTTACTTTAAAATTTAAACTATGGTTATAATTTAAGGCTGCCAATGCTCTGGGACGAGCCTCAGCCTTTTGGGCCAGGCCGGAACTTCGGACCTTTTTTGGGCCAAATACGGGCATCAGGTCCGGGCCAGGAAATTGCAGCCTTTTCCCAGCCCAGGTCAGGCCAAAAAGCCCGTAACCCTCCTTGCCCCTCCCTTGCTTTTCTCTCACTCCCCTTGTTGGAAGCCCTCTGGCATCTGTCTCTCTCTCTGCCAGAAGCCCTCTTCGGCATCTCTCTCTCTTCTCTCTATTCCTCTCTCTCTTTGCCAGAAGTCCGGGACGAGCTTCGAGCTTTTGTTGGTTGGGATTGAAAGTTGACTATTGATCCTGTGCTAGCGGAAGGTGGTGAGGAGGTAAAAAGTTTAATTGAGATAATCTTAAACACCTTTTTTTGTTTATTGTATATTTACTTATTGTGTTTTTTATTCTTTTTTTTTAATTATTATTATTTTTATTTTGTTTGAAGTTGTTTTATTGTGAAAGGACCAATTGTAGGTGATCTAAGATGTGAAGAAAAGAAAAAGAATTGGAAAAAAAAAGAAAAAAAACACTTTGGGTGCACAAAGACCATGACATACGACATGTTATGGATCCTTCCGTCTTCAATTACAGGTTCTCAAGCAAAAAAATGGCCAGAAAAAAGCAAGATGATGAGGATGAACCAAAGCCTTCGAGCTTGACAGATCCATACAGGCAACAGAAAACTCAATTTGGCCAGAATCCGGTGATTTTCTGTGAACTTCTCCTAAGTGACGAGAATGACGAGGGAGGGTGTTTCAACTCTCGACTTAGAAGAAGGGAAGGCCGCCAGTAGAGTTTTAGGTACGGCGAAAATTTCAAGTAAGAGCTGAATTTCTTGGGATTCAGATAAGAGGCAGTTATTTTGATATAAGTTGATGCGGTTTGATCCTCTCAAACATGGTTCACAAGCTTCTATAATCAAAATTATACTTAATTCTATAATATCCTGAATTATTAGGATATTAGAGTGTTATCAAACATATTAGTTATTTCCATGTCCATTCTTTGTTAACATAATTTGATATAATTTTTGTCTTTAAAATTTTAGTATACTCTTTTTTCAAAACTCAAAATTTGGGAGATAATCTCTTTTTCTCAAAATTTTGAGATAGTTTCTCTCTCTAAAATTTGATATGATTTCTCTCTAAAATTTGATAATACTTTATCTCTAAATCTTAAAATTTGTAATAGTTTCTTTTTTAAAAAAAGTTAGATGGTTTTTCTCTCTAAAAAAAATTCAAGTTGCTCTCACTCTCTAAAATTTGATATAGCTTTCGTCTCTAAACTTTTAGGAAACTTTCTCACTCTGTAACTTAAAATGTGAGATACTTTCTCACTCTAAACATTGCGAGATAGTCTTTCTCTAAAAAAAAATAGGCAATTTACCTTTCTAAAATTTGATATAGTTTCTCTCTCTAAAACTTTAAGATATTCTCTCTCTAAAACTAAAAACTCGAAATAGTTTCTCTCTAAAAAATTTGATATAATTTCCCTCTAAGTATTTTAAAAAACTCTCTATAAAGTTTGATATAGTTACTCTTTCTCTCTCATTGTAAAACTAAAAACTAGAGATCGTTTCTCTTTCTAAAAATTGATATAGTTTCTCTCCAAAAATTTTAACATATATTCTCTCTCTAAAATTGAGATAGTTTCTCTCTCTAAAAATTTTTAGGTACTTTCTATGTCTAAAATTTGATATATTTTTTCTCTCTAAAATTTTAATATGCTTTCACTCTCTAAATTTACAATTTGAGATGGTTTCTCTTTAAAAATTTTGAGATAGTTTTAAAAACATTTTGGTACATTCTCTCTCTAAAATTTAATATAGTTTTTCTCTTCAAAATTTTAATATATTTTCTCATTCTAAAACTTAAAATATAAGAAAAATTCTGTTTCTAAAGTTTTTGAGATAATTTCTCTTTATAAATTTTCAGGTACTTTCTCTCTCTAACATTCAACGTAGGTTTCCGTATTTGTTGTGTACCAAACATGAGTAGTGTAGGTTTTACATGAAAATATTTATTTTGATGAAAATATTTTCATACCTACCAAATGTGGCATAAGTTTTGGGTGTAGGGGTCCGACGAGTGGAATGGCCTTGAAAAAGAAAAAGAAAAATTAAGTGTTGATAGAGAAAAGAAATCATAAAAAAAGTGAGGGGGTCGAAGCAGGTAGACGGTTCCATGGAGATCCTATACTTCACTTCGCATTTGCCTTTGGTGGCTTTTAAGATTACCAGTGGAGCTTCATACGCATTTATTGTATTGGCTAAAAGAGGTGCAATTGCTTGAGCAGCCGCATTTTGGCAAATAAAGACCACCTGATCTTATTTCTCCCCTTTTGCTTTCTTGTCCATGAGTATTCCTCATCCAAGGATCTCCCTTCGTAGTTAATGTAGTTTATTTTTTTGAAAAACGTTTATAGAATGTTAACCCCCTAAAATGTAGAATTAAGGTGCATCTCTAAAATTTGATGTTGAAAAACATCTAATTGATTATTTTGACTTCGAGTGAGAGAGATATTTTATACGGTAACGTCTTTTTTGCTTAAGGGCAAGCGAGGTTTATCTATTTATATACATATGGAAAAAGTTTATATAAGGATGCTACCTTGTAATATAGAATTATGGATGCCCCTCAAAAATCCATCGGAAAAAGTAGTTTTAATATTGAAAAACCCTTTGATTGGTCATCTCGACATCGAGATGTATGACAAGGAAAAATAAAAATATTTTACGTCTAAAAAATAGTGCATTTTACAACATATTATCTACACCGTCCATTTTTAAGATTTTCATATGTTTATAGATTTACTTGATTTTAACCATTTTTTAAATTTAAATTTCTATAATTAGATATAAAAATAGACTTTGAGATAATCCTAGGAACATTTTACATCAAAATTATATACCATGACAAAATTCGCCTATAGGTGAAATGCTACAGTGATTTTGACCATGGGCCAATTACCGTCCGAAAAAAATCAGACGACATGCTTTTTTCGAATGCTACGGACTTAGCATGTCCGTAGCGGTACCGTCACTGACATACTAGCTCCGTGGCGGTAAAAAAATCAAACATAACCGCAACGGATGATGTGTCTATGCAATAAACCGCAATGGACAGAGCAATTATATGAAAGTGGCAAAACACTATAGAATTTCGCCTATAGCTGTTTTTTAGGTTTTTTCTCTCTCCCAATCTGGACCGTTGAGGTCATAAATTCATATGAACTAGTAAGCTAATCTCAACATTTATATA